TCATGCTGGGCACATGTGCGTGCATGCCCAAAATCCTGAGAGGAGAAGAAGAGAAGGGATCACGGCGTGGCCATCTTCCCCAGGAGGGGAGAAGGTGATTTCTCACTTTCTCTTTTTCTGCGTCTCCAACATCTTATAGCAAAAATCTCTCTCTAAAAAGAAAAAATAGATTTTCTTTGATTGACTCCAAGTTCAAAACGTGGAATTTATAATTTCTAAGTTTTTCTTTTTCTTTTCTTTCTTTTTTTTTCTTTTTTTTGAGAGATCTTTGCTGTAGGTTGTGTGCGCTCGACAGAAAGACAAAGACAGAGAGACAGAAAGCAAGAAATCACCCCCAGGGGGGATGGCCACGCCACCGCAATCTCTTCTCCATTCTCCTCTCGGGATCTTGGGCAGACATGCACATGCACCCGGTGTGAGTTTTAAGCCACCAGGTCCAGGACTCAAACCGCAGCTGACTACATGGGAGTCCAGCAACATAGCCATGATGCTAACTGCTGGTCTCGATAATTTCTAAGTTTTTCTGTAATATCTTTAAAGACTGGAGTACCAGCTTACTATAAATACCAAAAGTCATAGCATAAAATACATAGTAAGCCTCACTTTTCTCATTTGTAGAACCAAAAATTACGAAGCTCTCATCAAGCTTTTGGAATGTATAAGTATCTCCTTACAGACAGCGATAACATGGCTCTTGCTGGCAGTGTCATTAGAAAGACCAGCAGAGGGGACCAGCAGTTGGTGTAATGGCTATGTTGCTGGACTCCCATGTAGTCGACCATGGTTCGAGTTCCGGACCCAGTGGCTTAAACTCAAGCCAGGCGCGTGTGCATGCGTGCCCAAGATCCCAAGAGGAGAATGAAGTAGGGAATGCAGTGTGGCCATCGTCCCTGGGGGGTGATTTCTCTTCTGTCTCTCTGTCTTTCTGGCCAGTGCACATGATCTGTGGCAAAAACCTCACCCAAAGAAAAAAAAAATAGACCAGCAGGATCACCGGCCCAGACGCTGCCTCTCAGATTCCAACTGAAGTTTCAAGGACAATAATGCCCTTTGCTTAGATCAACATTGAAAATAACCATTTCCTTGGAGGTCAGTAATTTTTTTTTTTTTTTTTTTTTTTTTTAAAGAGAGAGAGTTTTTTGATATAGGGTACTAAAAAAAAATGCACTTGCCAGAGAGACAGAAAGTGAGAAATCACGCCCCCACTCCAGGGGATGGCCACGCCACAATCCCTTCTCTATTCTCCTCTCAGGATTTTGGTCATGCATGCACATGAACCCAGCATGAATTTCAAACCCAGGTCCAGGACTTGAACTGCAATCAACCAGGTGGCATAGTTAACCACTATGCCACCTGCTAGCCACTGGAGGTCAGTAATTAAGCTAAATGTGGGCCAGCAGGTGACATGGTACGTACGGGGCTAGATCCCACATGGCCAACAGTGTGGTTTGAGTCCTGAACGCTGTGACTTGAAACTCATGCCTGGGAAGTGATTTCTCACTTTCTGTTTCACTGTCTCTCTCTGGTGAGCTCACATTAAAAAAATAATAATAATAATAATAATGAGACTAGCAGATGGCACAATTGTTACATCGTTGGACTCCCATGAAGTTGACGAGTGGGAGTTGTACGAGTCCCAGACTCAGTGGCTTAAAACTCTCGCCAGGCATGTGTGCAAGCATGTCCAAAATCTTGAGAGAAGAATGGAGAAGGGATTGTGGCATGGCCATCCCCCTGGGGGGTGATTTCTCACTTTCTATCTCTCACTCTCTCTGTCTCTCCAGCAAGTGCATGCACCCTATAGCAAAAAACAAACTTTCCAAAATAAATTTTTAAATCTCCCTATGCAATACTCGAAGAGAAGAAAAGGCCAACTTCACTCCTTGCTTGCCCACTGAAGAGTAGATGGATTTTTCTAGCTCACTTGGCCTCCCACGTCACTTTCACCATTTGCAGCAATTTAAGCTGATCCCAACAGGATTAACAAACCCCTCTGAGGAATGGAGGAAGAACAAAGACATGTTACCACACACACTCGGGCACACACATGGCAGTTATGGTTGGTGTCAATGGCAAAGTCAAATTCTGTGAAATATTGAAGAGGTTTGTTCTAAGTCAATGTGAGTAACCATGACATGAGAAATACACTCTCAAAAAGCCTTGAGAAAGTGCTTCCCACATGACTGGGTTATAGCAAATCTTTTATACATTTCAGGAAACCAGAAGTTACAATCAAAGTTGTAAATCAATATAGGGAGGTCAGCTATTGATTTGGCCCAAGAAGATAAAACATCTTAACATGGAGGCTTATAGGTCATAGGTAGATTGAGAAATTCTTTAGTTCGTTATTGGCTAAAAGAGTAAGGCTTTGTTTAAAACTTGGAGTCGGTAGAAAGGAAAGTTTAAGCTTAACCTTGACATAGATAAAGGAGTTTACTAATCCTCATGCGATGTTCTGCCAGGGTCAGGACATAAGAGATAATCACAATTGCTGAAGCATAGTGTCCTGTTTAGTAAGATGGAAAACATGCAGGTGAGACTCTCCTCAGGTGCCTTAGAAGGAATATTTTTTTGAGAGGTTTTTGCTATAGGGCGCATGCGCTCACCAGAGAGACAGAGAGAGACAGAGAGACAGAAGCGAGAAATCACCCCCCCAGGGGGTATGGCCACGCCGCAATCCTCTCTTCTCCATTCTCCTCTCGGGATCTTGGGCACGCAAGTGAGTTTAAGCCACCGGATCCCGGACTCAAACTGCAGTGGACTACATGGGAGTCCAGTGATATAGCCATTATGCCAACTGCTGGTCCCGTCTTTAGAAGGAATTTTAAAACCAAGAAAATGTGGTCAATTCTCATTGATAATTATCTTTCTATAAAATTCAGTTTATTCAAATTTGAATAGCCCATGAAAATCCACAGGGCACACGTCTTAGAACCTGGGTGTGATGGATGCCTCACAAGATTTGTGACTCAGCCGGAAGTCTTGCACTGGTGTATTTTCTTCAACAATTATTTTGACATCTAGGAATACCTACCACACTCTAGGGCAGTGGTTCTCAGCCTTCCCAACACTAGGGAAGCCTTGTGGAAGGTAGTTCCTCCATGGATGGGGGGAAGGCCCCAGGCTGACCCAAGAACACTATATCCCCCATGCACCCTATTTCTATCACTGCCACATTGCAATACACAGTGAAATAATCCCACAATAACAGAGTTCACACTCTCATGAGAATCCAGAACCGCTGCTGAGCCGACAGGAGGCAGAGCCCAGAATCCATACCAGCAATGGGGAGCAACTGCAAACACTAATTAATCTCACCTGCTCACTCACCACCCCCACCCCCACACTACATAGCCCAGCAGACCAGACTGGTCCATGGCCTGGAGGTAGAGGACCCCTGTTTTTGGCCTGTGCTAAGTCCTGGGGTCTTTGGCAACAAAGAAAACAGATATAGTCCCCATCTTCATGGAGTCCACATTCTACCAGAAACAGAAGCGTAACAGAAATGACAGGAGCAGCAAGAATTAAGAAAGAGAAGTGGAGGGTGTCCTTCTCCTTGGTGCCTGCCACATCACTGTTCTCTTGTGAGCTCCTGAAAGGCCTAGAGAACCTGGTCAGCACCCTAAGCTATCGTTTAGGGCCCCTTAAAAATAGATGCATTCTGGGCCAGTAGGTGGTTAAAGTGCTAGATTCCCACATGACCAACCACAGTTTGAGTCCTAGACCCCGCAGCTTGAAAAATCACAGCAAATGTGAGGCAAGCAAGTGGCATGGTGATTAAGGTGCCAGACTCCCACATGGTCAACCACAGTTCAAGTCCCAGATCTAGCAGCTTGCCTTCTCACTTTCTTGAGAGAGAGAGAGAGAACACACATACTCTACAGCAAATTTTAAAATAATAATAAATAAATAAAATATTAAAAAAGAAAAATAACAAATAAACAGATAAATAATTTTTTTAAAAAAAAAGTAAAATAGACATATTTCAGGACCAGCAATTCACGTAATGGCTATGTCACTGGACTCCCATGTAGTCGACCACAGTTCGAGTCCTGGACCTGGTGGCTTAAACTCATGCTGGCGTGTGTGCATGCATGCCCATGATTCTCCTGAGAGGAGAATGAAGGAGAAGAGATTGTGGTGTGGCCATCTCCCCTAGGGGGTGATTTCTCATTTTCTGTCTCTCTGTCACATGCCCTATAGCAAAAAAAAAATAGACATATTACTTCTCTAGGCTGTCCATCCTGAGGCTGCTGACCCATTTAGGCAGGAAATGGTAGTTAAGAAAGGGAGATCACGGGACCAGGAGGTGGCATGAGGACCAGGACCAGGAGGTGGCATGATGGGTAAAGTACTGGACTCTGACATGCCTGACTGAGGTTCAAGTCTCAGACTTGGCAGCTTGCTTTTTCACTTTCTCTCTCTCTTTCTCTCTCTCTCTCTCTCTCTCTCTCTCTCTCTCTCTCTCTCTCGTCAAATAAAAAAATAATAATAATGGCAAATAAAATTAAATAAATCAAAATTTTTAAAAGGGGGATCATTATAAAACCCAGGATTCCCAGTACCAGAATAATTCTAGAACTAGGTTTTGGAGTCACAGAACCACAGTACTTCTAGGAATTAATTCTGAGACTTAAGAGTTGTATCAGGTAAGTTCCTTTATCCAACAAATGGAGAAGCAACTCAGATTTCTTTTGGGGATAGAGACACAATAGTCATGATAACTTTCAAAAGTGAAAAATGCAGAAATGTACATTATTATTGGTTCTCTAGTGAGAAGGGCTTATAAAAAAATCCTATAACAGATTTCTCAAATCTTTTCAAAATTTTAAAAAGTGTTCCTCTTCTTAATTCTAAAATTGCTACCAATAATTTTGGCCACCATCTCAGTAAATCACATATATTCTCAGAGGATTGTTTTGGTTTTTTCCCTAAAAGGTGCTTTGATCTCCTAATAAATGAAAAATTCATAAATTTTCTTCAAAACTGCTTCTTCCTAGCATCCCCAAATTCAGAAGGAGTCCCAGTATATCAAGTATCTCTGCTGTGATGATGCAAGAACCCTCAACCAGTGGGTCATGGGAATCAGGATCGCCAAGGTGAGAAAGCAGGTGAACTTCACCACCTTGAACTGAACTTCACTCAACACCTTGGACTTACCAACTTGCCTCCTGATCTGGGGCCAGTTTTTGGGCTGTTGTGAAAACATTGACCCATATGTGGGTACAGCCCATGTTATTACCTCACTTATTTGCCCATTGGGTTCTTTGTTTTGTAAGTTTTGCTGGTGCTCTCTGAGGTGGACATACCACACAGTCCCCTCTCCTCCAGTCTCCTCTGAACTTTGAGCATCCCCATGCACCCAACGTGATTTTCAAGTTGCCAGATCCAAGACTCAAACCCATAGTCAGAAATGTGGGAATCCAATGCCTTAGCCTCCACATCACTGCTAGCCCTTTACCCATTAGGTGTTTTTTGTTTTGTTTCTTTTTTTGAGAGACAGAGATTTTTCTATAGGGAATATGTACTTACCAGAGACAGAGAGATAGAAAGCGAGAAAGCCCCCCACAGGGGGTTGGCCACACTGCATTCTCCTCTCCTCCACCCTCCTCTCAGAATTTTGGGCACAAACACACATGCACCCTGCACGAGTTCCAAGTCACCGGGTCCAGGACTCAAACTGCAGACCTCCACGTGGGAGTCCAGTGCCTTCGCTACTACCTGCCGGCCCCACCCATTGGGTTTTCTTCTCTGGTGACCTGAGAATCAAGAGTTGATTTTTACATGAGAGTTTTCAGATCTTCACTCATGGAGAGTATTGCAAGCTCAGTGTGGGCAGCTAAGAAACGTAGATGGAATCTCGGGAGGTACATACATAAGTAGAGACATCTGGAAACAGAACTGTGTGGCTGAAGTTCTCCTTTCATGTGTAGGTGAAAGTATTAACTGACTCTCCTAACCTGGAAAATTATTTAACATGTAAAGACACACTTTGTAAATATTTTTATGAAAATAGAGTCAAAAACAAAACAAAACACAAAGCTTGGGAAGAAGTGAGAGGAGTAATTATGCAGTACGTTGTTGTCATTGTCAATGCGTGTATTGCAGTGGTGTGCAGAAGTTAGACTAAATGGAGTCCTTTCTTTCTTCCTTTGTCCTCCCTCTCTAGTATGGAAAGACTCTCTACGATAACTACCAGCGGGCCGTGGCAAGGGCTGGGCTTGCCTCTCGGTGGACAAACCTGGGCCCTGTCAACACAACTGCATCAGCTCAGCCATCTACAGGTACTAACCAGGGGACAAATTCCAACACACATACAAAATTCATGTTCCAAACTTATCCAACACGCATTACTGAAATTGAACTTTACAGACCTTGTTCAGAATATTTCTCTTCTGATGGTCAGGCTCGACCCTACGCCCCTCACATGTACACCCTGTATTTTTTTTTTTTTAGTGTATTCGTTAATTTTTTCCATGAGAGAGACAAGAGGTGAGGGGAAAGAAAGATGAGCACCATAATAGGGTCCCCCTGCCACAATCCACCCCCAGCCACAGCCAGCCAGGATTACAGGCATGCACACATGTACCTGATATGTCAGGGAGGTCCCAAGATGCAAACCCAGGACTCTTCCCATGTGGATCTACTGGGTCATCGGAAAAGTCATGACACATTTTTGCATAGAAAAATACGTCATGACTTTTCCGATGACCCGAGTGTCGCTTTACCACTGCAACACCGACTGGCCCTCTGCTTTCTTATAAGTGACCTCTAACAAAGCTTTCACCATGTTTTTTATGGTCTACTTTTGGATAAGGTGCTGCTCACCAGTGCAGGGTGCCAGGAGGGAGCTGTTTCTCGTCAGTGTACAAAACATCACATTCGTCCAGGCCTCCATTACTGACCACAGACAACACTCACCAAGGACAAGATCACACCTGTTGTTCACCTCAGTGACATCATGGCTAGTCTTATACCCAATCTTGGACATCACATCTTTTTTTAAAGAATTATTTAGTATTTACTTTTATTAATTGTTATTACTTTTTAATTTTACCAGAAAGAGAGAGAGAAAACAAGCTACCAGGTCCGAGACTTGAACCATAGTCAGCCATGTGGGAGTGCAATGCCTTAACCACCACACCATCTGCTGGCCCTGGGCATCACATTTAAGGACAAAATAGCAGCAATTTTTTAAAACAGTTATTTAACCTCATTCATTTTATTTTTAATTTGACCAGAGAGGGACAGAGTGAGAGTGAAAGTGAAAGAGAAAAAGAGAGGGGAAGTGAGAAAGCAAGCTACCAGGTCCAGGACTTGAACCACAGTCGGCCATGTGGGAATCCAGCACCCTCAACCTCCCCACCACCTGTCAGCCCCAATAGCAGAAATTTGATAGTACTTTTAAGAAGAACAGGATATCGAAGGTTGGAGTGGGTACTGTGTGCCTCTTTACAAATATCATTTCTGGTTCTTAAAACAAAATGTACAATAGCTCCACTCCACAGCGGAGGACCCTGACGGTGGGAGGAGCGGATATCTAGTATCTCCTGAGTGGCTGAGCTGTGATTCAAGGACATCTTATGTAAGATAAATAATGGTTGAAAGAACCGGAACCATTTATGGCAGAAGAGTTCTGGTTATCGTGTTCCAGTGTTAAAGGATGGGCATATCAAAAGCCAGTAGATATGTGTGTTCTTTGCTGCTTAAAATGGTTAAACCAGCTTCAAAGTGTGGAAGTTGCAAGAAGGCAGAACTGACCCAACATTAAGTATTCTTGCATTACATGTGCCCATATGGCTGCTCTGTGGCCACTGAGTTCCCAGAAAGTGCTAATGCCACGTTGCTTTCTTCAAGCATGTATACAATTTGTAATTATTTGGGACCATCAGTTAGCGTAATGGCTATGTCGCTGGACTCCCATGTAGTCAACCGCGGTTCGCATCCCGGACCCGGTGGCTTAAACTCACGCTGGGCGCGTGTGCATGCATGCCCAAGATCCCAAGAGGAGAATGGAGGAGAAGGGATTGCGGCGCGGCCATCCCCCCTGGGGGGAGATTTCTCGCTTTCCATCTCTCTCTCTCTCTCTCTCTCTCTCTCTCTCTCTCTCTGTCTGGCGAGCGCACATGCCCTGTAGCAAAAACCTCTCCAAAAAAAGAAAAAAAAAATTGTAATTATTTACTTAGTAACTTGCTTTTCACCTGTGTTCTCTGCATTATTCTGCCTCAAAAAGACAAAGATCATTTCTACTTATTCCACACTATGTTCCCCGAGCTTACCAGCCTGGCAAATATGTTGGGTTAATAAATAAAGGATTGATGGGCCCAGATGGTAGTGCAGCAGTAAAAAAGCAACACTCGGAAAGGCTGACCCGCATGGGAAGGTTCCAGGTTCTGTCTGGAGACCTCCCTGTGTATGCTTGCTTTTTATGTACCCACGACCTGCGACTGGCGAGGTTAGGATTAGATCGTGGTATTTGAGACCTTGTTTGGAGTGTCTGTTTGCCTCTCTCTCTCTCTGCCTCAATCTCTCTCTCTCTCACTCATGGGAAAATTAAGAAATAATTTTTAAAAATAAAAATAAATAAAGAATTGCCACAGCTGGGTGGGAGTCTGGTCTCCATGACTCTAGAAGGATCCTAATTCTATCTGTCCTCAAGTTTGGGAGGAAACACTCCATGAAGTTCTTGAGCTGTCGAGTGTCCCCTTCCCAAGATGTGACCACTCTCTGGGCTGAGGCATTCTGGCACCATCTGGGTTCTCCCAGGAGTGTCAGTCAGTCTTCTTCCCAGTGAAGATTGCTAGGCTCTTTCTAGGGCAGATACTCTGGCCTCAAATCTCACTCACTGGCAAGGGCTAGAGGCTACGATGTTTCTTTCCCTGGCCTGTTTCCAGAATCAGCATAGACTGAGTCTCTTCTGAAATTAGGATTTCTAGAAGGATGCATTGAAGCTAATTTAAGGATTCATTCCTCAAAACGCTCTTTAGCCAGTCTCATGAAACTGCCTTTACCTAGGACATCGAAAAATAATTATATTCATATCTCAGTATTGGGTGCTTACTTCCTAAAGGCAGTTAAGAACTAATCTAGCCTGGAGTAGAAGAATGTTCTCTTTCATGTAGACATAGTCTTATGTCTGAGGGGAAAAAATCCAGAATCAGGGCCAATCGGTAGTATGGTGGTTAAGGCAGCTGGGTCCCATATGGTCAACTGTGGGGTTCGAATCCCAAGACCCAGCAGCTTGAAAAACACATCAGGCATGTGTGCATGTGCATGCCTAAAATCCCAAGAGGAGGGACCAGCAGATGGCATAACAGTTACATTGCTGAACTCCCATGGAGTCATCTGTGGTTCTGGTCCCATCATGTGTGCGTGTGTGACCAAGATCCCAAGGACAGAATAGAGGAGAAGGGATTGCATCATAACCATCCCCCCAAGGAGTGATATCTCATTTTGTGTCTCTCTGGTGAGGGCACATGCCCTATTGTAAAAATATCTCTGAAAAATAATAAAACTTTAAAATAAAATAAAATAAATCCCAAGAGGAGAATAGAAGAGAAGGGATCTGCAGCATGGCCATCTCCCCAAGAGATGATTTCTCACTTTCTCCCTCCCTCTCTCTCTCTCTCTCTCTCTCTCTCCAGTGAATGTACCTGTCCTATAGCAAAGTTAAAAATAATTAACAAATAAATTCTGAGTCATATTTAAATATGATTCACTTTGTGCTTCCTTGACAACTTACTTACTTTTCAGAGACACTTCATTTTTTTCATCTGGATTGGCATGATTGATATGGTCTGATCTAGGCAAGAACCATAAGGATCTAACCTCTTTTAGAGTTGGGGGAACATGCCAAATCATAAGTACAGTGCTTTTGTGAGTTCTGTGAATCATCCTAGCAAATTATGGAACTTGAGGGGGTCATAAGAACCCCTGAATTTGTAGAGAGCTCATCAGGAGTGTAGATGGCCCAGGGACTCCACTTGTGGCTGGTGTCTGAAGAGGGGCCGTCTCATGGAGGTGTTAGCCATTACACCTGTGAAGTCTGGCACTAACTCCAGGTGGCTGATGATGTCAAGATTGAACTGTAGTTCACCCACTTGGGGTAGGATTGGAGCACCCCCTTACCAGGACCTTCATTTTTTTTTTTTTGAGAGGCAGAGAGAGACAGAGAGACAGAAAGCAAGAAATCAACCCCCCACCACCAAAGGGGATGGCCCCTCCACAATCCCTTCCTCTCCATTCTCCTCTCAGGATCTTGGACATGCACACACACACGCCCGGTGTGAATTTAAGCCACTGGGTCCAAGACTCGAACTGTGGTCAACTACATGGGTGTCCAGCGACATAGCCACTACATCACCTGCTGGTCCTAGGCTCTAATAATTATATATGTTAGAGGTTATGGTGGATCTGAGGATGCTGTGAAATGCTATAGGGCACCCGGGGACCCCATCTCTACCATAGGCATTCCCTCCTGTGAATATCTTAAGAGAAAGATTAATACACAAGCAATCATGGTAATGATGAATAATGCAAATAGTTAAAGAGAGAGAGGAGGAGGGGAAAGAAGGAGGAGGAGGAGAAATAAAAGAAGAAGAAATAAAAGAAGAAGGAAGAAGTAAAGGAGGGGAACCAAATGGCTGTGCCTACTTTTAACCGGTAGTGATTCTGCCCACTGCTCAACAGGAAATGTGGAGGGTGAGAGAAAGACACGTTAGGGAGAGGATCTGAGACCCTTTTTTCCTGGAGGGCTCTACAAACAGTAGGCATATTGCTTCTACCACAGGACTGTGGACATGAACCACTGGGCCCTTCACACTGCCTGTAATCCTACTGGGTTTCTCTAACCCAGTGATTCTCAACTGAGAGTGATTTTGAGCCCCAGAGGACAGTTAGGAATATCTGAAGGTGGTTTGGGTTGTCACACCTTAGGAGTACTATTGTCATCCAGCAGAGGGAAGCTAGGGCAGCTACCTCTCCTACAGTGTACCGGGCAGCCCGACACAACAAAGAATTCTCCAGGCACAAGTGTCAGCGATGTTGAGAAGACCTGTTCCAGTGTACTCTCCCACTTTCCCTGATCATTGTTTCAGATGTTCTTCACTCACTTCAATTTCCAGCCTCCAACCCCTCTATTCTCAGCAGAGAAAATGGCACCACCGAAGGAAAACTCTCACCTCCCTTCACTACCTGAGAGTCCCCATCCTAGCTGCATCCCTCATGTTACCTCCTAGCATGAGACCTTTCTCCTCTCCCTCTGGCTTGCTCTCCTGGCTTCTTCTCATGAACACTGGTCCCTTTCATGAACAAATAAATTTAAAACCTCTGTAGGACTCCACTTCTCCCTCCAGCTACTATGCTATCGTATCGCCAAACTATTCTGAAGGTGGACCGCATTTGCTGTCTTCTGTCACTGCTACCCCATGGAAAATGCCCTCGCTGAGCTCACCACTGGCCAACGGTTGTGAACCCCTTTTTCTTACCCCCCCCCACACACACACACACCTCCAAGCACGTGGCTGTGGTGCAGGCTGGCTGTGACTGGGGCAGATCACATCATGAAGGCCCTGTTGGGTGTCCCTCTCTCTGAAAAATAAATAAATAAATAAATAAACTTAAAAAATTATTTTCAAGGTTTATTCTCCAATTACCAAGAAGATTTTAAAAGCAGAATATACAGGCCAAGCCAGTGGACCCGACGTCGAGGCAACTAGATCATACATGTTCACACAATTCGAATCCTAGACTCAGCAGCTTGAGAAACACGCTAGGCACACGGACATGCCCAAAATCTCAAAAGAAGGGAGAAATAGAGGAGAAGGGATTGTGGTGTGTCATTCTGCATGGGGCAGCGTGGGGGGGGAAGGGGTTGGGGGGACGTTTCTCTTGCTTTCCCTCTCTCTGTCTCTCTCCAGTGAGTATATGCACACTCTGACAAAATTTTAAATAAATAAATAAATAAATAAATAAATACAAAGCAGAGCATTTTCTAGGGTCTCAGGGTACCCAGATTTTCTCTCGTAGGCTTTCTCAAGTATTCACTTTCTCGAATCTCTTGCTCAGTCTCATACAAAGCGTTGCCACAGAACCTCGGAGTTTTCTAAGGCCTCATGTACCCTGCCGTGCCTGTGAATCCCTTTCTCTTGCTTTAGAGATATAAACTGCATCGTGTTTTCAAAATCGCTTTCAGAAATATTTTTAAAAACCACTTTTCTTTTCTCTCTTCCTCTCTCTCAGGACTTAAGACAGGCGGCGCCCAGCCCAACGGTCAGATTCCGCAGGAGGCACACTCTGCCGGGGTCGTCCTCCAAGAGGCTCAGAGACACGTCGACACAACTAAGGTAAGGCCAGGGAGTAACTGGCATTGCCTCTGTCAAACTGTCATCTCTAAGTGACATAGGAGGGGACTTCAAAAGTTTGGGAGGAAATGGAATTAAATTACAAGTTGATTTTGGTGCCAAAAGCAATGTAAAATGCATCTATAGTATTTTCATAATACACAGGTTTCCATGAACTTCTTGAAGACACCACCACAACCTATTCTAGACCCCCTCCGTTAAAAAGAGAAAATAGCATTTCAACAACTGAGAAGTCATGTTACTTTCATTTAGGTTTCTTTTCTTTTTTCTTTTTTTGGAGAGGTTTCTGCTATACGGCGCGTGCGCTCCCCAGAAAGAAAGAGATAGAGAGAAAGTGAGAACCCACCCCCCAGAGGGGATGGCCATGCCGCAATCCCTTCTCCATTCTCCTCTTGGGATCTTGGGCATGCACGCACACGCGCCTGGCTTGAGTTTAAGCCACCGGGTCCGGGACTCGAACTGCGGTCGACTACATAGGAATCCAGCAACATAGCCATTACGCTAATTGCTGGTCCCTAGGTTTATATTTTTTATCTTAACGTTACATAGACTAGAATTGGAAATTAGAAACAATTATGATCACGTTGCTTAGAGAAAATATAAGAATTTATTTTAAATGTCAGAAGTATTAGCTACATTTATTCTGATGAGAGTCATTGTCTTGGTTTAGTCAAATGATTTTATCACTCTCTGAAAGTGGCATGCATGAGTTTTAAGCTCTTGGGATTTTACATATTTTTTTCTGACTCAGTTAGAACAAACAATTAGTCAGAGCCCTATATAAAGTACTAGCGGGGCTCCCAAACCAGAGGAGAAGGCTACTAAAAGAGTTACACTATAAATATGCTTTTCACACTTTCCCATGAACATACAAAGAGGTTTTAAAAAGTTCATTCAAAAGTGGAATTAAAGTATGAGTTCAGGGCTGGCCCCGTGGCCTAGTGGTTAAGGCAGCCAGATCCCCCATGGCCAGCCATGGTTTGAATTCCTGCACCAGTGAATTGAAACACATCCCAGGTTCATGTATGCCCCAGATCTCAACTGAATGGAAAAATGGAGGTGAAGGGATTGTGAAAGGTGTTTTCTGCTTCTCCCTCTCTCTTTCTCTCTGTCTCTCTATGAGGACCTTCTATCAATCCAAAAAGAAAAAAAAAGTATGAGTTTATCTTGGTGCAAAAAATTTTGAAATCCATGCATAGTTTATTTCATAATACTCATTTTTGAAGATCCCCCCGTACATTCTCAGAGTAATAGGGAAGAAAATACATTTTAAAATAATAGCCCACACCTTCTCCCAACTTTTTTCAATATTAATGAAGTTCACTTAAACCTACATAAAATGGTAGCTTAACAACTATAATTTAATTACTAATCCAGTTCATACCAGCCTAGCCGACTACATAAGTCCCACTGAGTATTTCCCATGTGTGATCCAAGATGTCCATAAATAATCCTTGTAATGGCAACACCTCACAAAAGCTGGGATAGCCTGTTGGCTTAGCTTTGATGTTTCATCTTACCCACACCATCACTGGTCCGTCAGCCAGTGGGAGGAACAATTGAATCATGCTATTTACTGCACTTTCTATAATTTTTGCAAACCACTGTAGACATCTAGAAGTTTTGTTTCTCTCGTGTTCTGGTTATCCTCTGAAGCTCCCCAAGCTCAATGCACGTTTGGCCATTATTATTTTCATGATTTCTATAAATATGCCAGTTCAAAGGCAGTATTTAAAAAGGCCAGAAGAAATCAAAGAATCCCAGAATCGCAGCCACTTATCTGTGTAGGCACGCCAATTTCCAACCTGCCTGCCCAGAAATGAAAAAAATACATCACCAGCTAATTAGCTTATCATACTAAGCAAATAAACCAAAAAAAAAAAAAATAGAAATTCAATCACAAGGCAATTAGGAAAAAAACTTCTAAATTTACTCTTAAGTGGTAAGAGGTTATTAAGCAGAGAAAGAAAATGAAAACCTGATAAAAATGTAAACGGGAATGCTAATTATCACTAAAGCAGAGGGATTCAGTTGGGCTGCCTGAAATTCGTGGTGAGGCTGCATCACATGAACAGAAATGACAAGGATCTGTTCACTGTTGGCCAATAAACGGCTGTGCCGCTGCTACATGTTGGCTCGATATGGTGTCCTGGTTTCTGCCAATAGCACGTGCACCCTGAGCGGACGCTTCTGAACAAATTCATATAGTTGTTGTCACAGTCCTGAGTAAGACTCGGGAGACATCATCTCAAGAAAAAAGAAAAGTTTATTGAAAGAACACCCAGGGGTCTGCAGCTGGTGGTGCCTCAGCCCACTCACCAGGAAGAAGGGGCTCCTTTCACAGACTAAGCAAGGCATTCTGGGAGACTGCGGGACTGACAGGCAGGCGAGGTAGGCACAGTGGGATGGGCATGCATAAAACCTTTGGCAAGTCTGTTTTTGCTCCATCTCTAAGGAGTTAGAACTCCCAGCATTGGCTCTGGGTCTTTACCTGCTACTTCCTGGGACAGCATCACCTTGCAGTAGCAGCACCTGCAACGCCGACTCTTGCCAAGACAATTACGCAGGCATTCAGCCTTGGTTACGTCTCTGGCCTGGAACGGTACCATTTGGTGCTCAGGAGAGTTACTGTACCAGACCTTACATTGATCTCCTTGGGTCTCATCCCTACCTAAGACAGATCATAATAGATTGTGATGCTCATTTTACCCTTGATTAACCTGCCAACCTTCACACAGTTAGGCAAGATTAAGGCTATAAACCAGGCCCACACCATTTCCCCTGAAGCTGTTATGCTAGAAGGTGCAAGGTTTGTAATGCTTACCCCTAGAAAACCACAGTCCTGGGAAAAGACACCTTTGTTCCAGAAGCTAAGGCAAGGAGGCCCTGAGCAGGGGCAGGCGGAGCAGTTCTTGGCCAGGGAAGATATGCCTCAGCTAGGACAAAGATCACCTGGATCCGGACAGCATCTTCTCACCCCGGTTCCCTCGTCCATTCTCTTGGTCCTAAGCAAAGTCAGACACCTAGGGGGGATGGAGGAGGCCTGGCGAAGTTTTGGGAAACCCCTTAACCACCTCTGTGCCATCACGGGTGTGGTACGGGAGCAAAATAATTGTACACACACCTGCCCCCGACAACTGAGCTTCCAGCAGCTCCTTCAGACCCAGACGAACGCATTCTGCGTCTGTGGGTGCCAAGGCCCCCTGGCACTTGGGGAGCCAGGGACTGCGCGGGGCCATTTGGCTTCCATGCTGAGTTGCCTTGAGCTGAGCGGAGCTGACAGAGACAGAGGCGACCCCCAAGGGGCCACACCAGCAGCGCCCTTTCAGAGACACGCGGTTCCGAGGAGACACCTGTGTGGTCCAAACGCAACAAGCACCCGGTCGATCGATCGTGTGGCCAAGGCCTCCATATGCGCAGGTGACAGTAGCGGGTCGCCCGCGGTAGGACTCGCAGAGGCCGCTGGGGGTCTCGCCTCCACCCCGGGCGGAGGCTGAGATGAGCAGCCCTGTGGTCTCGGTGACCCAGGGCTGGGGACAGTGAGGGCTCCGATCTGGCGACCCCGCGTCTCCGTGGCGATGCCTCCTCCCTCCGAGGCGCTTCTGTCGAGCATAACTGTTGCTGTTGTCGCTCTCTTGAAGGACAAGATTGCCGCCCCCGCCGCCGCCTCCGCCCGCGCTCGCCCCGGAAACCCCCAGACCCCCTCCCACGGCCGCCAAAAGGCCTCCCATGCCCCCCAAGAGGCAAGAGAACCCGGGACCCCCCAGCGGGGGAGGCGGCGGCGAGCAAGATTTCATGTCAGACCTCATGAAAGCTTTGCAGAAGAAGAGAGGCAACATGGCCTAAGGAGATTGCCCGGTGAGCTTTCCTAACTTCGGGGGCACGTTCGAACCCCCAGACCCCCTCCCACGGCCGCCAAAAGGCCTCCCATGCCCCCCAAGAGGCAAGAGAACCCGGGACCCCCCAGCGGGGGAGGCGGCGGCGAGCAAGATTTCATGTCAGACCTCATGAAAGCTTTGCAGAAGAAGAGAGGCAACATGGCCTAAGGAGATTGCCCGGTGAGCTTTCCTAACTTCGGGGGCACGTTCGGCTGCTGTCCTGCCATGCCATCTCCCCAACATTGTAGCTGAAATGTTGACGTGTCCAGGCTAGAAATGATGTAAAACCTTCTGTGTGGCACAAGCGCGTGCGTAACTATTCACCTTAGGCAGATTTAGTCTCTGCCCCAATGTACATAGCTCCTGTGTATTGTCACGTCCGCGCATTTGTCTTCTTTACTAGGATCACGAAAATGATGATTTATGTCCATTTGTTTTATGTTCAGAACCATCAAATTAATAAAAGTTCACTTTTTTCCCCTGGAGACGGTATTTCTAGAACTATCTTTGAACAAATCTAGTACAACATCAATACTGTAATATACTTGACCTTTTAAAAATGGTCTTCAAGGGACCAGCAGATAGCTTATGGTTTCATCCACCATGGTTGGAGTCCCAGACCCAGTGGCTTCAAAATCAGCCAGGCCGGGGACCAGCAGTTAGCATAATGGCTATGTCGCTGAATTCCCATGTAGTCGACCGTGGTTCGAGTCCCGGACCCGGTGGCTTAAACGCACACCAGGCACATGTGCGTGGGTGCCCAAGATCCCGAGAGGAGAAGAGAAGGGACTGTGGCGTGGCCATGCCCCCTTGGGGGGTGATTTCTCACTTTCTGTCTCTCTGTTTCTTTGTGGCGAGTGCATGCACCCTATAGCAGAAACCTCTCCAGAAAAAGAAAAAGAAAAAAAAAAATCAGCCAGGTGGCTCCAAAAGCACATCAGGCCTTGGAGAATGGAGGGGAAGGTATTGCGGGCAAGGCCATCCCCCTGCAGGTGATTTCTCACTGTCCCTCTCTCTGTATCCAGGGAGAGCTCATACTCTAAGTCAAAAAGGTTGCAAAATCCTATGCCTTCGATTGTGGGCACGTGTGTGTGTGCATGCCCACAATCCTGACAGGAGCACAGAGGAGAAGGGGTTGATCTTGGTTAAACATATGAACCTCAACTCTCAGGAGGGCCTCGAACTGGGTCCTGGAAATCCATAGCTCTCCTTCAGTTCCCATCTTTGCTTCTGTCCAGACACTTGCTTCATTGTGACAGTCTCTAAATATTTCTACTCTGCACTGTCACTCGAGTTTTGTTTGGAAAACGGAAGATAGCCACTCTACAAGCCCCCGGTTCTCTTTTGTCTAGAGGTTGGGACTGCTGTCTTTAGCTCCATTGGAAAAACTCTCCCAAAGAGCACCTCACTGGCTGGGGTGACTGAAGGGTCATTCCTCATCACATCACCTGAAGCTAGACAGTGAGAAAGGAGTCTCACTCCCTTACTGTAGTCAAGAGGGCTCAGGAAACAGGACCTGGGCACTGGGAAGGAGGTGACGGTGGGACGCGGCTGTTCCAGACTTCACCAGGGACCCAAAAGTATCACTTCAAACGCTTTTCTAATTTTACAAAGAAATCAGGCCTGCAGACTTGCTCAGGTCTAGACCACATCCCAGGTCTCCTAACTGCTACTGAGATGGGAAGGGACTGAGGGACGTTTCACACCTACAGCAAAACAATACAACCTAACAGGACCAGAGACTGAAGGACCAGTCTGAACTGGCTGGAATTCAGGGGAGCCCAGACTGATATCTTGTTGGGAACATTTCCTGGTAAAGTCATTCTGGGGTTCAATTTGGCAGTACATATACAAACATTTTAGATGTATATTCCTTTTCACCCAATTAATTCCATTTCTAAGACTCCATATATAAAGATATACAGACAAAGATGTTGTATTTATAATGAAAAAAACTTTCATTTTTATTTGGGATGAAACCTAAATGTTCCTCAACATATAAATTATTTCACAAAATATGTTATAACTATACTATGGAGTATTTTGAAACCATTAAAGCAAATGGGGCTGACAGATGGTGTGGCGGTTAAGGTGTTGGACTCCCACATTGCCAACCATAGTTTGAGTCCTGGACCTGGAGGCTTGCTTTCTTACTTTCTCTTTCTCTCCCTTTGTCTCTCTCTGGTCAAATAAAAAATAACAATAATAGTAATAAAATTAAATAAATCTTTGAAAAAAGCAAACAAGGATGATCTACACATATTGATACTGAATATAAATAAAGTAAAAAGCAGTTTATAAGACAGTATATAGAGCATGCCCCTTGTCACATAAACATTTGCATTTATATAGGTATGCTCATACAATAGGTTAATACATATGCAGAGCAAAAGTCCAAAAAGACAAAATACTAATAAAAGGTATTTATTGGGACCAGCAGTTGGCATAATGGCTATGTCACTGGACTACCATGTAGTCGACCGCAGTTTGAATCCTGGACCTGGTTGCTTAAACTCACACTGGGCGCATGTGCATGCGTGCCCAAGATCCCAAGAGGAGAATAGAGGAGAAGGGATTGCGGCGTGGCTATCCCCCCTGGGGGGTGATTTCTCGCTTTTTGTCTCTCTGTCTGTCTCTGTCTTTCTGGAGAGCGCACACGCCCTGTAGCAAAAACCTCTCCAAAAAATAAAGCTATTTACCTCTGCGGAGAGGGGAAGTAAGGATGAAAAGGAAGGCTCACACATTTATTCGATACACTTCTTTATTCTTACAATAGTTTACATAAGCATGTATTCAAAAACTACTTAATAACTGAAAAATTAATAAAAGTTCACCTCAAAATTTATGGAGTCAGAACTTTCTTCAGTTTTAATGATATTATAATAATTTTTAAGGTATTGTTAATTTTTTGTTGCTTATTCATTTAATTTTAGAGAAGAAGGTATACAACTCAAAAGTTTTAAATTGTGGGGCTGCCAGGTGGTGTGGTGATTAGGGTGCTGAACTCCCACATGGCTGACCATGGTTCAAGTCCCAGATCTGGCAGTTTGCTTTCCCACTTTCCTTCTCTCTCTGTATCTGTCTGGTCAAATTTTAAAAAATAAAAAATAATAGCAAAAAAAATTAAATAAATAATTCTAACAAAAAGGTTTTAAATTATAATCTAACAAGCTTTGTGAAGAGTTTCAAATACAAACCTTTAGGATTCCAGACTTTGGTATGTAAATACTATTTCCTTAAAAGGGGCTTCCCTAGAATAATGACTGATTCCAGAGCTGAGGCATAGGATATATAGGATAAAATCAGAACATCTTACACTAGAAAAGCAACAAGGTATCAATAACTTCTGGAATCACATGAAAAGGAAGCCAGTTTGAGGGTTCAGTGGGGGCACAGCAGTAAAATGTGATGCTCTACAAAGCTGACCCACTGGAAGGGTTGCCAGTTCGAGTCCACAGACCAGAGTAGGCAGAGTAACACGTGTGCCCACGATCCAGGGCTGGCCGAGGCTAGAAGTGGATCATTGGGGTTGCTAAGTCTCTTTCGGGCATGCTCACAGAATAGACAGATAAATAAATAAATAAACTTAAAGAAAAAAAAAGGGAGGCAATGTGAATAAAATCTTAATGGCCAAATAAGAGACAATTTGTACATTATCAAAGATAATAAATGAGGGGTCAGCAGGTTGCATGGTGGTTAAGGTACTAGATTCCCACATGGCCAACCACAGTTCCAGTCCTGAACCTGGTGGCTTGAAAACTCACACTGGGCATGTGTGTGTGCATGCCCATGATCCTGACAGGAGCACAGAGGAGAAGGGGTTGAGGTCCATTATCCTCCTTGATTTCTCACTTTTCCTCTCTTTGTCTCTGTCTCTGGTGAGTGCATGTACCCTATGGCAAAAAAAAAAAAAAAGAAATGTGATAGCAAAAAGCACATTAAATATGTTAAAATCAAGAGTTGATCATGATATTAATACAAATAAACACACTAGTCATCTTAGGGGGATGCTTGGAAACGAGCTTGTTATTTTGGTTTTTTCTGTACCTCAGGATAACCAAATCATTACTAATGGAAAGTTTTGTTTTTGGGGTGTTTTCGTTGTTTTAGTGGAGGGATTCCATCTAACACATGAAGACAGAACTAAATTATCATCATTTTACAACCCTTATTGAATCAATGGGTCAAGGCTACTAGCATCACAGAGAGAGAAATACGATGTACCTCCTGGTGGAATACTTGCCTTCTGATAGCAAGTATTTAAGACACATAAGCCAATCCTAAATGTGACTGAGGCTCTAGATTTACAGACACGCAGGGGACAGAGAAACACGTTAACCACCATCACGGGGTGTACCCCAACGTGCCGAGTCCACAGTAAGTGCCAAATAAAAACTTACACACCCATTTTGATTAAAATAGTCACAAGACTTCTTAATCATTGAGAATCATTCATGTGGTTTATCAAAAACACCAGGTTGTTCCGTTAAAGTCATTAATTATAAAAATGATCACAAGCTATTTTAAAGATGAAAGTCCAATTTATTTGGCTAACAAATATTTTTTAATATAGTCATATAATCATTTTTTATCTAATGTGAGACTGTCATCAAAATGTGAATGATCTTGGGAACTTGTGAAATAGGGGGCCAGCAGGTGGTGTGGTGGTTGAGGCACTGGACTCCCACACGGCTGACCGTGACTTGAGTCCTGGACCTGGCAACTTGCTTTCCCACTTTCCTTCTCTCTCTCTCTCTCTCTCTGGTCAAATTAAAAATAATAACAATGATGAATAAAATTAAATAAACAATTCTTAAAAAAAGAATTTGTGAAATAGACTATTTTATGTTGACTGTAATGGTGGGAGTACTCCTTAATTTATTTTTCTCAGATTAAGATGAACAACTAACTCTGAGATCTTTAGCCCATGAAGGAGTAGGCGAGGAGTAGCCTGCTCGCTCAGCCGCAGACTGCTCTCGGAACGGGTGCTGAAGGACACGCTGCAGAAGATGAACCTGGTAAACAAATTAAACAGGTAAGGATAGACTTCTATTACTCAGGGCCCTCATTAATAAACAAAACAAATTCTAAGTGTCTAAAATGGCATGGCAAAATTTTAAGCTATTTGGAAATATTTATACATTTCATAGCTTACTAAAACCTCGACTATAGGGGTCAGCAGGTGGCATGGTGGGTAAGGTGCTGGATTCCCACATGGCTGATCATGGTTAAGTCCTAGACCTGGTGGCTTGCTTTCTCACTTTCCTTCTCTCTCTCTGTCACTCACTCTTTCTGCCTCTCTGGTGAGCACATGTGCTTTGTGGCATACTTAAAATAATAATACTGATAAGATAAAATAAATAACTTTTTAAAAACCATGACTATAATTGTTACTTAGAATTTCTATTATTCCACAAAAAAAGCTCATTGAGTACTACTTTTGTACTAAAATAAGAATGTGAGGGGACCAGCAGGTGACATGGAGGGTAAGACACTAGATACTCCCACATGTACAACCATCGTTCGAGTCTTGGACCTGGCAGCTTGCTTTCTCACTTTCCCTCTCCCTCTCTCTGTGTCTCTCTCTGGTCAAATTAAAATGAATGAATAAATTAAATGAAATGAAATAATTCTTTTTTTTAAAAGTGTGTGAATATGTACAGTGTCATGAAGACTACGAATATATCTTGGTAATTTAAAATTCCTTCACCTGCATTAAGAGAATTATAACTTTCTCAGATATTCACAGAAATAGAAGGATGCTAATACTTTGTACCCTTTCAGGTCGAGGGCGTGCATTCCAGTTCCCACGGCTTCCCTGTCATTAATAAACTGAGGCATCATAAATCTGAAAGCACAGTGTGTATTTTCATGATTTTGTCCCTTCCTTGGGTATCATGAAGGAAGTGCCTACTTCTGAGAGAAAAGGCGAATGATCAGCTATAGTAAGGAAGCAAAGGCAGGAGAGCAAGCAGAGCAAATGACTGTGTCACTCATATCGTGAACAGAAAGACTGCATTGTCATGAACACAAGGATCTTAGAACCTCTCCTGTAACTTCTCTCTGGGTACTCTCTACTCTTCCTTTTAGTGAAGTTAGTTATGTACCTATCTTTTTTTTGAGAGAGAGTTTTGCTATAGGGTACACGTGCTTACCAGAGAGAGAGAGAGAGACCGAAGGGGGATAGCCACATTGCAATCCCTTCTCCTCCATTCTCCTCGGGATTTTGGGCATGTACACACACGTGCCCAGGTAAGTCTTTTTTTTTTTTTTTTTCCTTCCCTGGTGTGAGTCTTAAGCTGCCAGGTCCAGGACTCAAACCCCAATCAACCATGTAGGAGTCCAGCGGCATAATCAGTACATCATCTGCTGGTCCTCCTATCATTTTTTTAACAGTGATTTTTGCTACAGGGTGCATGCACTCACCAGAGAGACAGACAGAAAGCGAGAAATCACCCTCCTAGGGGTGTTAGCCACACCAAATCTCTTCTCCATTCTCCTCCTGGAATCTTGGGCATGCATGCATGCACTCACAGCCCATGTGAGTTTGAAGCCACTGGGAGTCCAGCGCCACAGCCACTACACCACCTGCCGACCTCTCTAACATTGCCTGCTAATTTCAAAGTACCTCAAATAGATTTTTACATCTCTGCCATGGATTCTCATAGACTGGATTCTCAAGAAGTATTTGACGAATGGAGGCAAACACCAGCTGTGTGTTTAAAGGTTTACAAGTGCAGAGGTTTACAAAATCGTTTTCTTCTCCTCCATGAGAATTCGACCTTTAGTTCACTTTCTAGGTCCGTTTCCCTGGTAACTTGATAGATGGAAAGTCCACTGTACTACCAGACAACATTGGCTAAATAAATTTATTTTTAAAAAACCTTCTCAGTAACAGTTATAGTTGAGTCTAGTTGAGCTTTAAGACTAAGAGAACTGTAAATACCTAAGTGAACACTAAGTGTGGTGATTCCTGGAATAAGGAAGGTCTCTTGTGAGGACATTGAAAACTGCTATGGGGTTGTTACAAGAGAGACTGGCAACTGTGGAATGTGAAACACTTAAGCCAAGGCTGCCCCTGCAAGTTCCCAGTGTTGTTCTCATCTCCTCCATGCTGCCGGACCTGACAGCCCAAGCACTCCTGCCCTGGGGAGCCTGAGGCTCCCTGCTGGTAAGCTGCGCTCCTGCTCCTGTCTCCACTGAGGGGCCCAGGTGGCCGAGGGACCGAGGTGGCCTGGGATGGCCATAGCGTTCTGAATGGTTACTAAACACAGGAACGAACAAAGGCAGAGAAGGAAGGGAAATGTCAACAAAACAAAGTAGTAAATGCTGTTTAGTTCCCCCAACTTAGACAAATGTATTTAATGATAAAAGAAAATAATCACACTTCCAAGTTCCCAGTGTTGTTCTCATCTCCTCCATGCTGCCGGACCTGACAGCCCAAGCACTCCTGCCCTGGGGAGCCTGAGGCTCCCTGCTGGTAAGCTGCGCTCCTGCTCCTCTGTCTCCACTGAGGGGCCCAGGTGGCCGAGGGACCGAGGTGGCCTGGGATGGCCATAGCGTTCTGAATGGTTACTAAACACAGGAACGAACAAAGGCAGAGAAGGAAGGGAAATGTCAACAAAACAAAGTAGTAAATGCTGTTTAGTTCCCCCAACTTAGACAAATGTATTTAATGATAAAAGAAAATAATCACACTTCCCTTTGTTTTACTTAGTACTATAAAAAGATTACATTTGAAAAAAAATTTCTTTTCTGAAATGAAAACCTAGAATATTCAGGCTAATTCAACTACTGAAATAAAAAGGTAATGCATGTTTGGGCCAGTCACTGGCATGATGGTTAAGGTGTTGGATCCCACGTGGCCAACTGTGTAGTTCGAGTCCTGGACCCAATGGCTTGAGAAACATGCCAGGAACGTGTGTGTGTGTGTGCGCGCGCGCACGCGCGCGTGCCCAAAAGCCCAAGAGGAGAGTGGAGGAGAAGGGACTGCAGTGTGGCCATTCCCCCAGGGCAGAGATTTCTCACTTTCTCTCTCTCTGTTTTGCCATTTTTCTCTGACAAGCACACATGCTCTATAGCAAATTGAGAAAAAAACAAAAGTTAATTCGAAATAGCAAAAATTGGGCAAAAAATAAAATGGCCTAGTAGTTTAGGGAGCTGGACCCTACATGGCCGATAGTATAGTTCAAATCTCAGCCCCAGGGGTTTCAAGTATAGCCGGGCACATTTGTATGCATCCCCTCTTGGAAACGTGCAGATGCCATCAAGCAAACAAACAAAAACAAAGCAAAAATATTAGTTTCTCTCTCTCACCAGCTCGGATCAGCTGGGAGGGGAATGATTCTGAGTAATCCGAGAGACGATCAGTGATGCCTGCTCCAGGCTTAGAACAGGAGAGGGGTGGCCCATGTACCAGAGCGTTCCTCTTTTAAAAACTGCGTCACATGCCATGCACCTTTAATCAATTTCTTAGGAAATATTTAAGGCTGAGGAGGTATGCAGAATAATACAATGACCACCTACGTATCTTCCATTCAGGTGTAGACATAAAATATTTCCAGTGGGGTTGAAGTCACATACGTAATACTGATAAGATTTTGGATGTTTCACACTACATTTCATCAGACACATACTGTATTTTTTTAAAGAATTATTTTATTTAACTTTTATTTATTATTATCATTATTATTTTCCAGTTTGATCAGAGAGAGAGAGAGGAAGTGAGAAAGCAAGCCACCAGGTCCAAGACTTGAACCGTGGTTGGCCATGTGGGAGTCCAGTGCCTTTAACCACCATGCCATTTGCTGGCCCCAATACTGTATTAATCCTTTTGCCACTGATAGGTTTTCCTTAACAATATACATGACACTTATTGGGGCTGATACACGTAGCTTCGTGTACTCTCCTTCATTGCTGTTGAGATTAATCAAAAGTGGGCCCCGGCTGGTGGAATCGTGAGTACCTGGTAGAGGCAAATGCTAGTTCTCCCTGGAGAAATGTACCCCCAAATTAGGGTTCACTGGATTTCAAACAGAGACAGAAATCCAAAATATCAAAACACAATAGTAAATAGCAGAATCAGACCCACAGAAATGTCAACTCATTCAAAAATTCACACAAACATAATTTTAAATTAATATTTAAAATAAAATGAATATTGGGCTCGCAGATGGCATGGAGATTAAGGTGACTGAATTACACATGGCCAACTGTACAGTTTGAATCTTGGGCCCTGGGGCTTGAAAAATATGCCAGGCATGTGTGTGTGTGTGTGTGTGTGTGTGTGTGTACCCAAAATCCCAAGAGGAGAATGGAGAAGGGATTGTAGCAGGGCCATCCCCCCTAGAGGTGATTTCTCACTTTCCCTCTCTCTCTTTCTCCAACTCTCTCTAGCAAGCACACATGCGCAATAGCAAACAAACAAACAAAAATAAACTAATGTCTAAAATTTAAGTACATTAAAGAATACTTGGAAAATATGAGAAAATGATACACTGATTTAAAAAGAAAAACCACGCAAAGAGAAATATGGAAAACTGGTGTCAGACATGGTGTTTTAGTGGTTTATAAGCAGAAGTGTCTAAAATAGGAAACATTTTTAGTTAATAAACTCAAAAAATTCAACCATCTTACCTCTGAAAAATCATTCCTTTCTGCCTTCTGCACTGCAGACTCTGCCATCCAGTTCCTGAGCACATACCTGGGGTTGACAGCTTAAACAAGAGGAGAACATGCATCAGGGAGTCTACCTGGTTGACACAGGCCATATGAAGTCACCACTGAAATCAGGTCATTTCAAAAACTTTGCTGGAAGGCTCCAAAGAGAAGACATTATCAGTGTCATTCCATTTCACTGTTTATAAACAAAGAATAGTGTATTACTTCATGGTACAGAAAAAGCTTTCTTTCCTTTTTTTTTGAGAGCTTTTTGCTATAGGGCGTGTGTGCTCACCAGAGAGACAGAGAGAGACAGAAAGCGAGAAAGCACTCCAAAGGCAGGATGGCCACACCGCAATCCCTTCTCCTCCATTCTCTTCTCGGGATCTTGGGCATGCACGCACACGCGCCCAGCGTAAGTTTAAGCCACCAGGTCCAGGACTCAAACCGCAGTTGACTACATGGGAGTCCATCAACATAGCCATTATGTCAACTGCTGGTCCCCAGAAAAAGTTTTCTTAAGCATTATGATCAGTATTATGTTTTGTTTTTCTTTTCAGTTTCATCATTATTTTGTTTTTAATCACCAGTTTCAGCTTACAAAGCATTTTATAAAACAAGAGGAAAGAAGATCTAAGTCATCTGAATTGTCCGCTCCAGCCTAAGTTAGGGGAGAAACAGTTGATGTTTTTAGCATCTACAAGCACAGAATCAACACCCAACCCTTCAGCCGGACTGCATGATGTTGATGTTGGCTGAGAGGAAACAGGGAAAGCAGAACCATTTCATAAATGTGTATATTTAATTTTTTTTTTCTTTTTAATTTGCTATAGGGCATGTGTACTCACCACACACACACACACACACACACACACAGAGAGAAAGAGAAAGAGAAAGCATCCCTCCCAGAAGGGCAGTAGAGATGGCCACATTGTAATCTCTCCTCCATTCTCCTCTCTGGATTTTGGGCATGCACACATATGCACCCAGTGTGTTTTCTAACCCTCTGGGTCCAGAACTCAAACTGCATAGCACTTTGCTATGTGGGATTCAGTGCTTTAACCAACATGCCACTGAATGGCCCTAAATTTGTATTTTTGACAGTAAGCATGCATTTTTTCATATTAAAAAGTATTATTATAATAGTATGTTTAGAAAAATTCCAGAAACTATGTCTTCTGTTGACACAAGCCTTTTTGGCTCTGTTAAATTTTTTAAAAATTTATTGCCAGACACTATGTATGCTTGCTGAGGATAGAGAGAAAGTACCTTCCAATGGGGCTTGGTCACACTGTTATCCTTTTCCTCCATTTTTCCATCCCATCAAGACCTTGGACATACACAGACACACACACACACACACACACACACACACACACACACACACACAAAATCTTTTGGATTACACAGCTGAAAAGTGACAGAAATTAGATTCATCTGCCAGACTCCAAAACCCACGTTCTGTATTTACTTACTTTTATTTTGATTTGGCAGAGAGTATGTGTCCTTGCCAGAGAGAGCGATGGAGAGAGAGAGAGAAAGGAAGAAAGCATCCCTAGTGGAGGGTTGGTCACTCTAAACTTTCCTCTTCTCCATTTCTCCATCCTGTCGGGGTTTGGGCACACACGCACATGTACTCAGTGTGTCTTTCAAGCCACTGGAGCCAGGATTCGAAATGTACAGTCAGCCATGTGGGGTCTGGCTCCCTTAACCAGCAGGTCACAGGGTCAGCCCTCCACCATATTTTTTGGAGGGGAGAGGTTTTGCTATAGGGCGCATGCACTCACCAGAAAGACAGAGAGAGACAGAGAGACAGAAAGTGAAAAATCCCCTCCCAGGGGGGATGGCCATGCCGCAATCCCTTCTCCTCCATTCTCCTCTCGGGATCTTGGGCCTGCATGAACACATGCCCAGCATGAGCTGAAGCCACTGGGTCTAGGACTCGAACCACGGTTGACTACATGGGAGTCCAGCGACAAAGCCATTATGCCAACTGCTGGTCCCTCCACCATCTTTTAAGACAATATTATTTTGGCATTATTATGCAAATTGACTGAATACAGAGTCATCATACTTTTAAGTTAAAAGCCATGTGCTGAAATTAGAAAAGCCCAACAGGACACTTTAACTTGATTAAAATATACTCACCTGACTAATTCTAATAAAAAACAAAATTAAATAAACAAACAAAAAGAAAACCCTCAAATCACTTATGTAATTGCTTTTGGTTTTCAAGAAAAAAAAATTTTGCTTTTATGAGATAATCCTTAAAATTAAGAAAATCAAAAGAATTACTTACTTGTCATTCTTTTCCTTCTTTCAAAATCTGAGTCATTCACGTTACTAAAAATGAATAAAACAAAAGGACAAAATTAATCACTACCTACCCAAATTGTCATCTTTTTTTCAAACAGGATGAAATTACTCCACAAGACAAATATTGAGGAAAAAACATTCAAGTCACCAAAGATTGGTGTTTGAAAAAAAAAAAGACAGGATCAGCAGTTAGCATAATGGCTATGTCACTGGACTCCCACGTAGTCGACCGCGGTTCACGTCCCAGACCCGGTGGCTTAAAACTCACACTGGGTGTGTGTGTGTGCGTGCCCAAGATCCCGAGAGGAGAATGTAGGAGAAGGGATTGCAGTGTGGCCATCCCCCCTGGGGGGTGATTTCTCGCTTTCTGTCTCTCTGTCTCTCTCTGTCTGTCTGGCGAGCTTATGTGCCCTATAAAGAAAACCTCTCCACAAAAAAAAAAAAAGAAAAGAAAGAAAAAAAAGACAGAAAATACTGAGTTTAATTAAACATAGTTTAAAATACATCTTGGTCAGTTATTTTAGGCAATATCAAACTTCGTATTTTAACCAATTAAAATACTCTTTTTGTCTTAAAAAAAAGTCTAAACTGATACCTTCCTTTGTCTGAAGCATAGTTTTCTAAAAATAATTTCACTTTGTCTTACTCAGCACATATACTCACCTGAATAGATTGAGGGAGAGGAGAAAGCACTCCCTTACCGCCCCTACAATGGGGTGTCACTCCAAAATCTCCCCTCCTCCATTTCTCCATCTATCAGGATTTGGGTAGACATGCATATGCACCCAGTATGTTTTCAGTTGTTTTAAATATCTTTATAAATAGCCCTCAGTGACCACTAACCTGTGGTGGGCTATCTGTTCCTGCATATCCCGTGGTTTTCCTCTTTTCTCCCTTCAGCTGTCACTGCCTAATTCAACATGAGTTTGAGCCAAGGTGGCTTCTTACATTTGTATAAGATGTGACAATAAATAAGCATCAGACAAAAGACTGAGAGGCTTCAGGTGCAGGCTCTGGACACCTGGGGACCTGTGCTATCCGAGTTACAGTGAACACAACAGTGCTCTCTGCATAGGGGTGGTAGCGCTTCCCTACCCCAGCCAGGATAAAGAATCCAGGAGTAAAAAAGGAAGTGCTGGGGACAGCACGTGGCATGGTGGTTTAAGGCACTGGACTCCCACATGGCCAACTTCAGTTCGAGTCCTGGACCTGGTGGCTTGCTTTCTCACTTTTCCTCTCTCTCTGTATCTTTTTCTGTTGAAAACATGTGGCCTATAATAAACTTTAGAATAATATTGCTTAAATAAATGAGGTGGGAGGTTTTTTGTTTTTTTGTTTTGTTTTGTTTTTTGTTTTTTTAGAAAAAGGAAATGCCACAAAATGGAAGGGAAGAGAAGAACCTGATAGGCTGACAAAGTCCAAATAATAGATTACGTGCTCTTTTGGAAGTGATTAGATGACTTTACCTCTTCAGTCGCAAAAGGTACTGGGATACCCAGGCAGGAAAGAGTTTGTGCTTTGAAATCATCTTCAGTGCCCAGAATTGCTAAATGAAAATAAAATAATATATTCCTTATTACATGAGTATTTGTTCGGTTTCTGTTTACTTCATATTCCTTTCAATTGTTTATGTTCTCTAATAATAACGTATAAGATTTTTATAAAGGAAGCTGTTTCAGTTAGAAGTAGCACAAAAAGGAATAGTTTCCTTTTCCTTCTGTGTCATACAACTCTAAAATTCTGATTCACAGAAAACCACATAATGGTGTGACTTAAGAGAAATAAAAAACATACAAAGTTCTTAAACAGATTACATGATGAATACTTACGTTATCAAAAAGCATCATTTTTTACGGGAAAACTCCCTTAATGTATACTTCACTTTTAAAACCTTAATTTCCAACTGCATTTTATCTTATCTATTAATTCATTTATAAGATTATGAAATAAAAACTATGTACTGCAAACCATGTTTGAGTGGGAAGGATATAAAAATTAGTAGGTCAGAGCCTCTGACCTTAAGAAGGAAAGTGTGTGGCCCAGACACCATGGTGCAGGTGGTCGGGGCCACTGCATGATGCTGAAGCCATATAAGAGAGCCTGGGGTTCAAACTCTGGGTTGACCTGAACACTCTGGGTACACTCAGGATCCTGACCGGCAGGAAGGTTGGAGTGGGAGGACTGCAGCATCATGAGACGCTTTTGAAGGCTCCACTCTTCTCTATTTCAAGAAATAAATAAATAGGGGTGTCAGCAAGTGGCATGGTAGTTGAGGCATTGGACTCCCAATATGGCTGACCCTGGTTCAGGTCCTGGACGTGGCAGCTTGTTCTCTCACTTTCTCTCTCTCTCTGATCAAATTAAAAATAATAATAATAATTAATAAAATTAAATAAATAATTCTTTTTAAAAAGTTCATGGAAAATGGAATGAAAGTACAAGTGTATTTCAGTACAGAGAAAATAAAAGAAACAAATGAGGGTCAGGCAGTAGTGCAGTGGTAGTGTAACTGGACCCACATGGGAAACAGCCTGGGTTTGTGATCCAGGACCACTCTGAGCATGCTGGGTACACACCTACCCGTGATCCAGACCAGCTAGGGCTGGGAGTGGAACCAGGTGTGAAGACACTGTGGGAAGTGCCTATCTCTCTGACTCTGTCTCTCTAACTCGCATGGAAGAATTAAATAAATAAGCTTTTTAAAAAATGAACTTTTTTATAAAAAAGGCAAGTGTGTAAACAAATATTTCAATGCTATTTTAGAATTGTTATAAAAACTAGGTATAAAAGGCTAGGATCAGCAGGTGGCATGGAGGTTAAGGCTGCTAAATCCCACATGGCCAACTTCACAGTTCTGAGTCTGAGACCTGGCAGCTTGAAAAATCCACTGTGTGCATGTGTGTGCATGTCCAAAATCTCAAGAGGAGAATGGAGAAGGGACTGTGGTGTGGCCATATTCCCTGGGGGATGAATTCTTACTTTCTCTCTCTCTGTCTCCTTCTACTAAGGCACACACCCTATTACAAAAACTAAAACAAAACAAACGTGTGAGTGTGTGTATGTGTGTCTGGGGGGGGTGGTATCTGAGTATATACCACATATTGTATGATTCCATTCACATAAAACTTCCAGAAAGGAAAAACCTTTAGAAACAGAATGTAAATTAGCAGTTAGTTGGAAAGTGGAAATAGGATTGATTGCAAATGGACACAAGTGATGTTCTAGAGTGATGGAACTGTTCTGCTGGATTGTCTGAAAAGTCATGATGCATATCTGCATAGAAAAACATAGAAAAAATATGCCATGACTTACTTTTCCAACAATTCAATAATACTGAATCAGCATAACGATACAAGTTTGTTAATTATTTTAAATCATTGAATATTACACTTAAAATGAGGAGAATGTTATGGTAGGTAAATTATACATCGATAAACCTGTTAAAGAAAACTAAAGTAAGAAAAAAGATAAATGTCCCAAATTAATACTACCTGAGGAATACTGAGCTCTACTAGTTGGCTCTGAGTAATCTCACTGAGCTGCCGAAACGTCATCGTGAAATCAGCTTCGGTCTCTTCCATGAGCTAAGGAAAATAATTATACTTAGTTCACTTCTTTAAAAATTTGCTGAACTGTAATTTAAATGTTAACCATAAAAATAAAAAAGATAAACTCACAAATAAGAGAAATGCAATTAAGTCATCATCCTCTTCCCTTTCTCCAAGTAATCCAAGCTTGGCTTTGAACAATTTTCTGAAACTATACAAAGAAATGTCAATTGAATTTGTGTTAAAATCTTACTATTTTAAGAACTGCCCTCAAATCAACCAGGGTGTTTTAATATTTGTATTCAAAAGTGACGAACCTTGTATAGTAAAGAACAGGGTACCCTTCAAGGATCTGAGCAGCTCTGTGGGAGAAAAAGGGATATGATTTAAAATGGACATTCTCTAATGTCATTTTACCAGAACAAAGTGAATCTTCTCATACATCAGATAATATGGAAATTATACGCTACTGATTCTGGTTTAGTTATATATCGTAACATAGAGAAAACTGTCAGCATAACTTTTGTCTCAGAGGTTTGAATACAGTCCAGATTAAATCATGTCATTCTTGAAACATCACTTTAAACAACTAGTTTCTATGATAAATGTTAATATATCTCTATAATAGTAAGAGATAAATATAAATAGGTCTTTTATAGACCTATTTAAATAGTTCTTTTGGCATATTTCAAAAATCATCTTAGACCCAAAATAATGCCCAATAGGATAACATTTTTATTTATCTGAAAGTATGAGATAAAAAAAAATTTTCATAAAAAAATTAAAGCATTCATCTTTTTTTTTTAAAGAGAGAGATTTTTGCTATAGGGTGTATGCACTCCCCAGAGATACAGAGAAAGATGGAGAGTAGAAAGCGAAAAATTGTTCTCCATCGGGGATGGCCATGCCACAATTCTTTCTCTTCCATTCTCCTCAGGGCACACAGGAACACTTGCCTCATGTGTTTTTCAAGCTACCAGATTCAGGACTCAAACCACTCAGTCAGCCAAATCCAGCCACCTTAACCTCCAGCCACCTGCTGGCCTCCTTAAATTTTTTTTTTTTTTTTTTTTGCCGGAGGGCATGTGTGCTTATCAGAAGAGGCAGAGACAGAAAGAAAACAGCGGGAGAGTAAGAAAGCACTCCTTCACGGGGTATGGCCACACACAATTCCTTCTCTATCTCTCCCACCTTTCAGGATTTTAGGCATGCACATGGGCCTGATAGGTCTCTCAAACCCCCGAGTCTGTGACTTGAACCATGTAGTTGGCCGTGTGGGATCCAGCCATCCGAACCACTGCACAATAGGCTAGCCTAAACTTACTTTCTAAAATTGTGCCAGAGGGCACATGCACTCACCAGAGAGAAACAGAGAGAGAAAGGGAGGCAGAAAATAAAACAACACCCCCATGGAGAATGGTCATGCCATAATCCCCTCTCCTCCATTTCTCTCTTCTTCTGAGATTTTGGACATGAATGCACATGCACCTAGCATGTTTCCTAGCCACTGGGGTCTGGGACTCAAATTACTTGGCTGACTATGTAGGAGCCAGTGGTCTTAACCACAAGGCCAGGGCTACTCCCCCCAGAATATATTTTTAATAGTTTCCAATGAAGAGGGGATAAATGAGTAAACATTTCAAATCAGAAAAAGATAAGAAAAGTGAGGAGAAACTAAAGATGGAGGAAGATAGGTAAAATACAATAATAAATAAAATACATCAGCTGTTATAGTAACTGTGGAGTCAGCTCTATATCCTAGCGGTTAAGGGAGCCAATTCCCACATGGCCAACCACAGTTCAAATCTCAGCCATAGTGGCTTGAAAAACTGCCCGATGCATCTGCATGTATGCCCAAAATGTCAACTGGGTGAAGAAATGAAGGAAATAAGATTGTGACCACGACCCATGAGAAGCGTCCCCCCCACCCCCATCCGTCTCTCCATCTTTTCTCCCGCAAGTGCACATGCCCTCTAGCAATTAAAAAAGAAACAGAAAAAGAAATGTGAGCAGACTATATGCTTATTAGACAGAAACCATCACATTGGAATAAAACCTACTTATATATTTGTTATTATTTATTTTATTTTATTAATTATCAGTTTGACCAGAGAGAGACAGAGAGAGAGAGAGAGGGAGAAAGAGAGAGTGATAGTGAGAAAGTAAGTCACCATGTCTGGGACCCAAACCATCGTCAGTCATGTGGGAGTTCAGTGCCTCAACCACCATGCCACCTGCTGGCTCCCCTAGTTACATGTTTTTATAAGACACATACATTGTAACAAAGTAATGAAGGTCAAATATAAAATGCAATAGAGGGAGCCAGCAGGTGGCATGGTGATTAAGAGCACTTTAAGAGCGCTGGACTCCCACATGGCTGACCATGGTTGGAGTCCCAGACCTAGTGGCGTGCTTTCTCACTTTCTCTTTCTCTATCTCTTTGTCCCTCTCTGGTTAAATTTAAATAAATAAATAAATAAATAAAGTTAAATAAAATGTATTTTTTTAAATGTGATACAAGGCAAACCAGCAATCATGGCCAGCATTAACAACTACACTGAAATCGAGAGTTAAAGAGGGTCTCTGTTCAAATAAAAGGCAGTTTTTTTTTTAAAGAAAATCTAACAGTATAAATCATGTATGTGCCAATAACATAATAGCAAAATAAGTACATTTCAAACAATTAGAAAAAAATAACTTGATAAAAACACAAAGTATTAAAGTAAAACACATCTCATAAGACCCAAACTTATCTAACATAAAAAATAGAGTTATAAAGGACCTGGATAATACAATCAATAAATGTATGTGATTTCATGTAATAAAACCTTTGACTACAGAATGTACATTTTTTAAGAGAGGTTTTTTGTTTTTTGTGTGTTTTTTTGTTTTTGTTTTTGTTTTGGTTTGGATTTTTTTTTGGCTTTTGGGCATGTACACTTGCCAGAGAGACAGAAAGTAAGAAATAGAAATCACCTCCCAGAGGAGATGGCCACGCCACAATCCCTTCTCCTCTAATTCTTCTCAGGATTTTGGGTACGCATGCACACAAGCCCAGTGTGAGTTTTAAGCCATTAGGTCTGGGACTCAAACCAGTCGACTACATGGGAATCCAGCGACATAATCATTATACCACCTGCTGGTCCCCAGAATGTACATTTTATGTACAATCATCAAACATGCCTAAAAATGTTTTAAAGAAACTTCAACACATTTGAACAGTAGAGATTTTACTAAGCACATTCTCATTCTTTGATCATAAAAATATGAACAAAAGAATTCCAAGTACTGAGAAATTAAGAAATGCCATGATAATAATCCTTGGATCAAACAGGAACTAAACTAAGATTTTACAACTTTTTTTCAGATTTTTTTTTTTTTTTTTTTTTTTTTTTTTGCCATAGGGCACGTGTGCTCAAGAAACTAAGAAATTATCCCCACTTGGGGATGCCCATGCCACAATCCCTTCCCCTCCATTCTCATCCTCGGATTTTGGGCGTGTGCACACATGTCCCCGGAATGATTTTCAAGCTGCTGGTTCTGGGCTCGAATTGCAGCCAGTCATGTAAGAATCCTGAACCTTAGCCACCATACCACCTGCCAGTCCCAGATTTTACATGTAATGAGAAATAAATAAGGAAAACTTTATCTCAATAACTATGAAAAAAAGCCCAAACTGTACTAGAGAAAAATAGCTTAAAGTATCTCCATTATTAAAGACTAAATAATAAGATGGTTTTTAAAATATTAGTCTCTTGGGGCCAGACAGACAGACAGACAGAGACAGTGAGATGGAAAGTAAGAAGCTACCCCCCAGGAAGATGACCACACCACAATCCGTTCTTCTCCATTCTCCTCCTGGGATGCACGCACTTACGCCCGTCAAGATTTCCACATCACTGGGTCCAAGACTCAAACCTTGGTCAACCATGTGGGAGTCCAGTAACATAACCGCTATGCCATCTGCTGGCCTCGGTCTCTTACTTTTTAAAAAATGGTCATTTCACTAATATGTTTTCAAGGAAATTTAATTAGTAGATGTCAGATTTACTCACAGCTGCTTTTGCCTAGGATCCAGTAATGGGTTTAGAGCTTCTAACAACTTGTTTAGATTAAACATCCCAATATTGGCTTGATTTCCTATTTTATATCTTCTTTCATCATCAGATGTGTTTGGTACAAAATCTGTTTAAAACAAAAAAGCCTTAGGCTGGGGATAATTAAAATAAATAGCCTCTTTCTTTTTTTTAAGGAGATATTTAAACTTAATAAATTCATATTTATTAGAAAATAATCATTCTGACACTTATAAACTTATCTCTCAAGTAATATATAACATAATATCCATTATACTAAAAGCTCATAAAATATGAACATGTGAATGGAGGAATCTATTTCTAACCTATAAGAATATGCAGTTTATGGGCCAGCAAGTGGTGTGAAGGTTAAGGTGCTGAATCCCATATGGCCGGCTGTATTTGAGCCCTAGACCCAGCAGCTTGAAAATTATACTGGGTGCATGTGCTTGTGTGCCTAGAATCTTGAAAGGAGTACAGACAGCAAAGAACTGTGGTGTGGCCACCCCCCACCTCTCCCCGGGGAGGGGGTGATTTATCCCTTTCCCTCTCTCTCTCTCTCTCTGTCTTTCTCTGTCTCTTTCCAGGGAATAGAGAGAGCAAAACACTTCCTATAGCAAAATTTTTAAAACATTTTTCTTTTAATTTCCAGTTTATCATACAAACTCCAACTCGGGTGGTGGCACATCCCCCCAGAAAGCCTTCTCCAGCCCTTCCAGTGGTAAGGACTGTATGACTAATAACCTCACTTTATAGATGAGTGCAGTGAGAGGCTCAGTTAACTTGTCCAAAGGCACAGAACCATTTGGGTCAGAGGCCAGAACGCAAGCCTGTCTGTCTGACCAGACACTCCTATATACACTTCAGGCCATCTTCTCTCATTCCAGAGTCCTTGAAGGCAGAGACCACAAAGATACCCTGTTGCAGCACTATGGCATCCAGGTGATCAAAAGGCCACACAAAAATGTCCACTTCATGAATGACCCCAATATTTCCCACAACCCCATGGCTGTATATTACCTGTAATCATTTATCTAAAATAGACCTGCAATGATTTTTAGTAAAAAGTACACGCACGCACTTACATACACACACATACAGGATCCTGCATACCTGGATCATAGGCTTCCATAAAACCAAACGGACCATAGTCAATCGTCACGGATAACAAACTGAAGTTATCAGTGTTACAAACTCCTAAGAAACAAAATATTCCAAAAACATCATAATGAAATAATAAAGTACTTTTCTTTTAATTCTATAAAATTATTCAGAAGAGAAAAGGGCATATAAATGCCATTTGTTTCAGAGATAAAATTGGATTATCAACAGAAAGTTTAACTGGTGACATCACATAACTTAAAACAATACACACACACATACAGTCGTCAGGAAAGTCATAATACATTTTTGCTTAAAAAAAAAAAAACATAGAAAACAGGACCAGCAGATAGTATAATGGTTACGCTGCTGGACTCCCACATAGTCAACCATGGTTCAAGTCCTAGACCTAGCAGCTTTAAACTCATGCTGGGCATGTGTGCATGCATGCCTTAAAACCGGAGAGGAGAATGGATGAGAAGGGACTGTGGCAAGGCCATCCCTGGGGAGTGATTTCTCACTTTCTGTCTCTCTGTCTCTCTCTCCAGCAAGCACACAGTAAAAATCTCTCTCTAAAAAAAAAGATCCTAATAATAGATATAAAGGAAAACAGAAAAATATGTCATGACATTCCCAAAGACTCAACATTTTTCTGTTTGTTTTTGTTGTGTTCGTTTTGCTATAAGGTATGTGTACTCACTAGAGATAGAAAGAGAGAGAAAAAAAAAGTGAAAAGTCACCCCCCCAGGGGGATGGCCAAACCACAATCCCTTCTCCTCCAGTCTCCTCACAGATTTTAGGCACACACACACACACACACACACACACACACTAGCCCAGTGTGATTTTCAAGCCACCGGGTCTCAAACCAAGGAGTTGGCTATTTGGGATCCAGTGACTTAACCTCCACACCACCTGTTGGCCCTAAAACTATATTTTTTAATTAAATTTAACCTTTTATTTTAAAATCACTACCCTGCCCCCACATTTCAAATTTTGCAGAGACAAAACTTCAAAAAATGAAAGTACCTCTTCTATTTATCTTCAATTTCTAACATGAACTATGTGGAATGGAATTTAGACTAGCAAGGATTAAGATTAATTAATCTTCAAGGGTTATGAAAGGGAAAAGATAAAAATATAGATATGTACTCTGATGACGGTCATTAGTGCAGAATACTAGGATGAGGAGTCATTTTTCTTTTTCTTTTTTTCTCTGTAAGAGACGTGTATATGATAGAGAGAAAGATAGAACTGATATGAAATGATTAATGGTAATTACTTTGGGGGATGGAACGCTCATTCACTTCTGTATGTTTTAAATGATTTACTATAACCATGCAGTATTTTTATAACTAAAATGTTTTAAATAGAGCTGCCCACATAGTCTAGTGTCTGGCTGACCCTGGTAGTTCAAACACCGCTTGTATGTATGTGTCTGCCAGAAATGCTGACAGGATGGAGAAATGGAGAAGGGATTGCAGCATGACTAACCCCAGGGCAGCAGGGGCGGGACAGAGTGCTTTCTCCTTATCTCTCTGATAAGCATGTGAGGCCTCTGGCAATTAAAAAAAAGACTGAGCCAGACCCATAAAACAGCTGTGTAAGGAACCAGCTCCCATGCGGCTGACCGAGGTTCAAATCCTAGCCTCACCAGCTTGAAAAACACACCAGGTGTGGGTGCATGCATGCCTGCCCAAAAATCATGATGGGATAGAGAGGGAAGAATGCTTTCTATCGCTCTCTCCCCCTCTCCCTCTGGCAAGTGCACAGACCCTCTGGTAATTAAAAAAAAAAAAAAAGTTTTTAAATAGCCTTAGGGCTGGCTCCTTGGCATTGGTATAATTCGGCTCAAGGGACCAGCAGATGGCATAATGGTTGCATCACTGGACTCTCACATAGTCCACCATGGTTTGAGCCCCAGATCCAGTGGCTTAAAGCTCACACTGGGCACATGTGCCTACATGCTCAAGATCCTAAGAGAAGAATGGAAGAGAAGGAACTGCAGTGTGGCCATCTCCCCCGAGGGGTGATTTCTCACTTTCTGTCTGTCTGTCTCTGTCTCTCCAGCGAGCTACACACCCTATAGAAAAGAAAAGAAAAAAAAAAAAATACTGATCAAAATAAGCCAGACCCCACATTGGGATCATGAGTCAAATCCCTGGCCCAGGTACCTTGAGACATGCAAGGCACACACATACTTGCCCAAGATCCAATGGGCTACAGGACTGGGAGAGGGAAATCTGAGAGTGACCAGACCCAGCGAAGAGTGCTCATTTTTCTCTCTCATTCTCATGTGCACACACACATACTCTATCACAAATAAAAAAAATCTTTAAATAGCTTTAAGGGATCTAGACAGAATAAATGCTCATAACCTATTAAAACTCATCCTATTTTATGATTACTAGTCCATTCTAAACTATTTTAAACATGAAAACTTTCTGTTATTAAAAACAGATTTGTGTATTAAAAATGTACAGAATAAGAAGCTCATTAGCAGGGGTCAGCAGATGGTTAAGGCACTGGTCTCTCACATGGCTGACTGCAGTTTGAGTCCCGGACCCAGTGGCTTGCTTCCTCACTCTCTCATGCACTCTCTGTTTTTCTCTGGTGAGTGCCATGTACCTTATAGTAAATTTAAAATAATATTAAATAGTTTTTGAAAAAACAAGAGCTCATCAGCAGACAGAATACACAAAATTAAATTAAGACTTCTACTTCAACAAATTTTATTTTTCAGGATTTTGTCAAAGGGTGCATGCAGTCACCAGAGAGAGACAGAGAGAAACACAGAGAGAAAGTGTGAAATGACCCCCAGAGAGCATGGCCACATCACAATCCCTTCTTCATTTCTCTCTCAGGATTTTGGACACACACTCACACATGACTGGCCTGAGTTTCAAGATGCCAGGTCTGGGATTTGAACCACAGTTGGCCTTACGGGAATCCAGCGCCTTAACCACCACAGCACATACTGGTCCCCTACTTCAACAAATTAGTTCTACTTTCTGATCAGAAGAACGAACTGTAATAGATAACTCACCATGAGCAAAACCAACAGACATCCACAAGGCAATGAGTTGTGCTGTCTCAGATACCACAATAGAAAAAAAATCCTAAAATAAAATTTAGAAAAGTTTCAGGTTCTCAGTAATATATATTCTTTTAGGGTTCTCTGATAAGTCACCAGGAGAATATGGGAAGAATTCAAGGATGAATCAAAAGATGACTAAACAAATGGAAATTAGCACATATAAGAAAACTGAAAGAAAGAAAAATTACTGATCCAAAAATACTATATAAAAGGCTCACGAAGGAACCAGCAGATGGTATAATGGTTATGTCGCTGAACTCCCACATAATCTACTATGGTTCAAGTCCTGGACCTGGTGACTTAAAACTCACACCAGGTACATGTGCATGTGTGCCCAAGATCCCAAGAGGAGAATAAATGGAGGAGAAGGAACTGTGGCATGGCCATCTCCCCTAGGGGAGTGATTTCTCACTTCCTGTCTCTCCAGCAAGCATATGTGCCCTATAGCAAAAATTATGCTTAAAAAAAAAAAAAAGCTTGCATAATAAAATTATCAAGTTTATTCCTGTCCAATAAGCAAAGTAAACACATGGAATTCAGCACAGGGAGTTAAAAATAAGCAATGTTGGGACCAGCAGCTGGCATAATGGTTATATTGCTAGACTCCCATGTAGTCAACTGCAGTTTGAGGCCCGGACCCGGTGGATTAAACTCATACTGTGTGTGTGTGTGTGTGTGTGTGTGTGTGTGTGTGCCCAAGATCCTGAGAGTAGAATGGAGAAGGGATTGTGGCATGGCCATCACCACCCCCACCCCCCGGGGAAGTGATTTCTTGCTTTCTGTCTCTCTGTCTCTCTTTCTGGCAAGTACACACACCCTATAGCAAAAACCTCTCAAAAAAAAAAAAAATTAAGCAATGTAAGCTATTAAACTTTGAAATGTATCACCAAGAAAAATAATGAAATTCCCTTTTCTTTGACTGTTAAAAGAATGAAAAAAAAAAGGTTATGAAAATCAAAACTTTCCATGAGAACGGAAAAATCACATTTCCCTGTTATGTATTATGTTTATTTCAGAACCACTACTATAAAAATATCTACATATATAATATGCAAGGAAAGAATACATGAGGGGTTTTCAAAAACTTCATGGAAATGTGTATGATGCAAAAACTATGCATGGATCTCAAAATTTTTATACTTAAATAAACTCAGACTTAATTCCATTTTACATAAACTTTTTTTAAGAGAGATTTTTGCTATAAGGTGAGTGTACTCATGAGACAGAGACAGGGAAAGTGAGAAATCACCCTCTAACAATCCCTTCTCTTCCATTCTCCTCTTGGGATTTTGGGCACACACACCCATTCCTGGCATGAGTTTCAAGCCACCAGGTCTGGAACAGGAACCACAGTCAGCCATGTGCCTTGTGAGAATCCAGTGCCTCAACCACTAAGCTACTTGCTGGTCCCCTTCCATGAACTTTTTGAAGTTCTCTTGTATGTGATCAAATTAAAAGCAGCAGATTAAAAAAAAAGCATGCAGTCAGGTTGTAGGAGCACACTTTCTTTTTTAAAAAATTTTATTCATTCATTAATGTAATGTGACTAAAGAGAGAGACAGAGGGAAAGTGAGAGCAAGCCACTAAGTTCGGGACTTGAACTATGGTCAACCACGTGGGAATATCTGGCACCTTAATCACCATGCCATCTGCTAGACCCACTAGGCCTCTTTTAAACAAAACTATCTTGTTCATGAAGCGGTTGATCTTATCATTTAACAAAATGTCAAAGTGCTATACTCTTCCTTTCCAAACTGTAGTTATTTTTCAGTTCTAAACTATAATCTCTAAAGTTGGCAGGTCAATGAGAGGAAACAAGGGTATCACCATTTTTCTTCAAAAACTTACCACATATCTATTTGGTTTTTTGACATCTACTAAGGGAAAATGTTCCAGTATGATGAAGTCTAACAATGTCCTGGAGAGAAAAAGGACATAGCATCAGTGCTCCTCAGAACACAGTATCAAATATTCGCACACCTAAATCCATCCTTGCTATTTATGAATTCATTTCATCAGGCTTAAAATCTTAACTTTAAGAATAAAATTTTATGGACTGTCCCTGGTCTAGTGGTTGGTGGAGGTGTTAGCCCACACAGCCAACTACAATTTGAATCTAACCTCCGATGGCTTGAAAAACACACCAGGTATATGTGCGTGTGCACGTTCAAATTTCCAACAGGATGGAGAAATGGAGAAGGGATTGCGGTGTGACTATGCCCCATCGTGGGGTGCTTTTTGTCTTTCTCTGGAGATCACACATGCCCTCTGGCAATTAAATAAATTAATTAAATAAAAGTTTAAGATTTTTTTTAAAAGACAATTTTGCTCCAAAAATAGCCAGAGAAATATTTCCTCGGCATCAATCAAAAATATTAAGTCATGAGGAAAGTCATGACGCATTTTTGTATAGAAAAACAGGAAAATACGTCCTAACTTTCTGTTGACCTATTAGACTACATTTCTAAGATCATACTGGAGTCTGCCTTATCATGGATTCAGATTAGTTCAATAAACATCCACGGAGTACCTACTGTACCTTTCATCTGCCAAGCCTTGGGCAAGTGTCAGGGAAAAGAATGATAAGGCCCAGACCTGGACCTCAAAGAACAATGGTCCACTAGGGGAGAAGAATTGACACTTGGTTACAGTATACTCAAGGCCGTAATAGAAACACAGTGATGACAGTGCAGGACATGTTCATATGTGGAGGGTCACGTAAGGATTCACAAATGAGGTGACCAAAAAAATGGCAAATGTCTTAAGTTAAAATATTTAAAGAGCATATACAACATTTTTAAAAAAATTTGCTAGAGGATGCACATGCTGCCCCTTTCCTGCCCCCCCCAAATGAGTGTGATCACCACCGCAATCACTTCTCCTCCATTTCTCCACCCTCTCTGGATCTGGGGCACATACACCCAGCATGCCTTTCAAGCCACCAGAGTCAGGATCTGACGTGAGCAGTCAGCCATATGGGATTTGATTGCTTTAACCACCAGGCCACAGAGTTGATCCTGTATATGCAGTATTTTTCATTCCTATTTTTTGGGGGGTGTGGGGGGAGAGGTTTTCGCTATAGGGCGCGTGCGCTCGCCAGACAGACAGAGAGAGACATAGAGACAGAAAGCGAGAAATTAATCCCCATGGGGGATGGTCACGCCGCAATCCCTTCTTCTCCATTCTCCTCTCCAGATCTTGGGCACGAACGCACACGTGCCCGGCATGAGTTTTAAGCCACCGGGTCCGGGACGCAAACTGCGGTCAACTACGTGGGAATCCAGCGACATAGCCATTACGCTAACTGCTGGTTCCCTCATTCCTATTTTTAAACATTCTTTTAAATTTTATTTTGTTCATGGTAGAGAGTACGTGAGCATGCATACAAGAAAGCAAGAGAGAGAGAGAACCACTCAAAGAGAGAGAACCACTCTCAACAGGGTATCATCATGCCACAATCCCTTTTTGCTAGCACTCCAAGATCCTGGGCATTACACACATGCGTCCTGTGTGTTTCAGGTTGACTGGGGTCAGGGATACAAACCTGTGTTAGCCATGTGGCTTCCAGCACTGTAGTTCAGTATGCTACTGACTGGACCACAAAGGCTAGGCCTTACTCCGCATTTTAACCACCTATTCCTGTTAACTGACTAGCCACTAGTGTTGACTGCATTGAATAAGAGGGAATATGGGGGACCAGCAGTTGGCATAATGGTTATATCGCTGGACTCCCACGTAGTTGACTGAGGTTCAAGTCCCAGACCTAGCAGCTTAAAACTCATGCGGGACACTTGTGTATGCATGCCCAAGATTCCAAGAGGAGAATGAAGGAGAAGGGACTGCGGTATGGCCAACCCCCCTGGAATGTGATTTCTCACTTTCTGTCTCTCTCTGTCTCTCTGGCAAGCTCACACACCCTATAGCAAAAATCTCTCAAAAAAAAAAAAAAGGAATATGGAACAAAAAAAACTGTAGATGTGATTTTGGAATTGTTAAAACCCAGTCAAAACAATAGGAATCAATTAGAGTTTGCCTAATAATTTAGACAGACAGGAGAGTCATGTCAAGTCAGCCAGAGGCGGCATTTCCAGAAAGTGGTGAATGCTATACACGGAATGTTAGAGAGGTAAGTGAGATATACTGAAACCTGACCAGTAGGTGGAATGATTTCAGAGGCATGGTAAATCCAAGCAGAAAAGTGGTCCTAAAAGCAAACAAGTAGTAAGAAATAATGTCCAGAGAGAGAGGACAACAGTCTCCACCAGCCAGGATGGCTACAAGTTTGTAAACATTTGCTAAAGTAGGAGACTCGGGGGGGGGCTAGTAAGTGACTTGGTGCGTAAGGCTCTGGACTCGCACATGGCCGACATGGTTGAGTCCCGGACCTGGTGGCTTGCTTTCTGTCTGCCTCTCTCTCTCTCTCTCTCTCTCTCTCTCTCTCTCTCTCTCTCTCTCTCTCTCTCTCTCTCTCTCTCTCTCTCTCTCTCTCTCTCTCTCTCTTTTGTGGAGCATGTACCCTAGTACCCTACAGCAAATTTTAAAATAATAATGATAAATACATTTAATTAAATAAATAATTCTTTTAAAAAAATAGTGGGAGACTCAGAGCACAGTTGTGACAAGTGGGATGACTTCCCTGCTCTGCTCTTCATTTCCTTCTTTTTCCCCCCTCCCTGTATTCTTCATGGACCAAATCTGGGTTTACAGCGTTGTTAACTACATTATAGGATTCATATTTCAAAAGGTTCTAGTTTGTCTGAGAGAATGCTTCTTTCACATTTCTAGTGATTTTTAAAATCTATTTAAAAATGGAAACAATTCCTCCTAAAGGAGGAAATCTTTTTATTTGAGAAACTTTTTGCTGAGAACGATGGACTCTTAAGAGCACAGATGCCAGCAGGCACGGAGACCTCAGAAACTGTGGAAGCTGCACTGCAGGACCTAAGGGGAAGGATTTATCAGTTTTGCTCTTTTTCTGTTTCTTCTCGCTTGCCCACAGCAATCTTCAGTAAGCTGCACTCTGTCCCTAAAGCTTTGTGTGTCTGCATTCATCCTGTTGTAGGGGCTATATTTCAGATGGGTCAGCATAGTGTGAAACAGCATCATTATATTTGTCAAAACTGGAGTCCAGGGGCCAGGAGGTGGCATGGTGGTTAAGGCACCAGACTTCTGCATAGTCAACCGCAGCTTGAGTACTGGACCTGGCAGCTAGAAACTCATGCTGGGCATGCGTGTGTGTATGCCCAAAATCCCAAGAGGAGAATGGAGGAGACGGGTACATGTGAGGGAAATGGGGAGATGCTGGTCAAAGTGTAAATAAATCCTAGAGACCTAGCATACAGCTAATAGCTAAAAATTATGTATTATGCACTGAAAATTTGCTGAGAGTAGACCTTGAGTATTCTCATCATTAAAAAAAGTAACTATGTGAGATGATGGACATGTTAGCTTGATTGTGATCACTTCACAATAGATGTATCCAGAAGAATTATTTTATTCAATTTTATTAATAATTGTTATTTTTAATTTGACCAGAGAGAGTCAAAGAAAGAGGGAAAGTGGGAAAGCAAGCTGGGACTCGAACTGCGGTCAGCCACATGAGAGTTCAGTATCTTAACCACCATGCCACCAACCAGCCCCGAATACATACAATTTTTGTATGTCAAATATACCTTAGCAAAGTTGGGGAAAATACATATTTCATAGCTTTAAAAAATATAATTTTCTAACCTCAGTAAATCCAGTTCACCATAATGAGCCAAAATTTCTAGGGATCCAATCCTAAACCATGATTTTGCAGCACGCAGCACTACCGCCCCTTTGAAAAAAAAATTTTATCATAAAATATTTTAAGATATATCAAATACTTAAAGATATATGAAAATAGCAATTTTTAAATAAAATTATTTTAATAAAAATGAATATAATCACTGAATTCTCAGCAAATGATTTCCCAATTCCCATGTCCTGCATACCTTGCCTTTTGTTTTGCCATCCTAGATTCCCCATCCCCACCCTCTGCCATGTCCCATCTTCCTCCTCCATTGTCCCTAACATTCATGATTGCCCTCAATGCCTTCCGCCCCCCCCATTCAATTGTTCTACCAATGAACTCAATTATTCCAAGTATATCCACTAGCTAGCACAGCTGACATATCCTTACACATGTATCCAAATCTGATCCTAGGCATAAACCCCAGGGAGTAGAATGAACATACTATAAAGTAGACCCCAGTTGTGTACATACAACTCTCTTCAGTCATCAAATGTGCATTTTTTTTCCTCCTGCTTATTACTTTTTTTATATTAAATTATATTGCCTAACACTCATTCCCTGAGTATCATCACAACACACCAAGTGTAGTTTCCCATCTAGGATAAACTGCATAGTGTCTTAATCAAGCATGTCGTCACCAATACTGTTCCATTTCTACTTTCATACATATAAATATGTTTTTTATCCTATGTTTGACCCTCAGCCCTTTCCCCCTCTCCCAATTACTCTATCTCTGCTATAGACAGCTATCCTCCAGAGGGGTCATTGAAAATGCGATACCTGCGAGTAGAGGGAGAGGGGCCAGGAGTCCAAAGTTTTTAACAATAGGGAAAATAGATTCCATTCAAGGTTGGATCAAGTGTGGGTCTCGTGCAGTTCCGCAACTGTAGGTGAGTCTCCATGGAATACAGTTTCAGGAAAGCAGTTCTGGTAAGCAGAGTTGACCATCAGTTGATGTGGCACAGCGGCCATCTTGTGGTTAGCAGGAGTGGTGTTGTGGA